GCCACCGCTTACGCTTCTGGTCTTTCACAAACTTGGCGACGCTACCCAGACCTGCACCCTTGGCCTGGCCACCTTTTCCCGCAGGCTGAGAAGCACCGTGAGAACCTTTCTTACCGCCTGGCCCTTTGTTCGGACCCTGCGGAACCGCATGGCCCCCTTGTGGCGCAGACTTGCCTTTCGCTTTTCCCTTTTCGATATCCCGTTCCTGAAGCGCACGCTGCTGCCGCGACTGCTCGTACTGGTCGCGAGCTACTCTGACCAATTCCTGGCGCTCAGGCTCCGTGAGAACGTAGCGCATGTCGTCGATGTTCTTGCTCCGCAGAAAGTCATGTCGAAGCTTAAGGACAGAGAGAATGGCTCGGCCAGTCTCCTCCTGAGACGCAAAGGCCGTGTCATATTCCGAGCCAGGCTGAGGAGCGCCAGCTGGATCAGTGTCCGCTGGCTCCGTGGACTTCCTCTTTTTGAAAAGCAAGAGACTGAGATGATGGAGGACTTTCGGATCGTACTCCTCGTCGTACCTGTCGTCCCAAAGCTGCCTCAGCTCCCTGTGCAAGTCGTCCGCGCGATTCTGAACGACATCCTCGACGTAGTCGGGATCACCCGGTGAAGTCGGTGAAAGCGGAGGAGCAGAACTCGGCGACCGATCCCAATGCACAGAAGACTCGCGGTCCGCCTGTACGCTGACGTCGGCGTCGGAGACGTTTTCGACGACAATTTTCCGCCTCTTGCTCTCCCCAGGCTGAATAGCACCAGGGAGAGTGAGCACAACCGCCACCGCATCGTGTGCGTCGTTGCGCATGCCACGATCCGTAAAAGACGCGCCAACGGCAATGGAGCAGAAACGGGCGACTGCTCCGCAGACCGCGACGTGGTCGCCTTTGAGGTCGGCCGGAGTGGCATGGACCTCCCATACCTTCTCGTCGTTCTGCTCGCGCTGGTAAGCCTCCCGCGCCTCCTGGAAAGTGAGGTTGTCGTCGCCGACTACAAGCACAACGACTGCCTCGTTTAGATTCTCAAGAATCTTGGCCAGGCCGTCCAGGTGCAAGCGGAGATGGCGAACTGTCCGCTTTCGAGTCTGGATGCTCGGCGGTTTCTTGCCGCACACGATGTGCATGTTGGCGATCACCACGTGGAACTTGTCATGGCCTGGTTTGTTCACCTCAAAATGTGAAATAACAGCATCAATATCTCGGCCGCTAGGAGGCCTGTAAACTTTGCTGTCTTCGCACAGAGTCAGTTCCGCAGGCTGAGAAGCACCGCGGAACCCCCAGAGAGTCAAGTAGTTGTCGACCTCCAAGAAGCGAATGCCATCACCGAAAGGCTTACTGAGGATCTCTGTCACGTTGATCCCTGCTCGGCGAAAGCCTTCACGGAACGCACCGACCTCGCAGCCACAGACCATATCAGCATCAGCGGTCTCCACTATCTTGGCGCACAACCTTCCGAAGTTAGCGCAGTGAGTGGCCGCCTGCTTACCAGTCATCATGCCCTGCTCGAACCCGAAATTGAACGAGGCGACCGTGAAAGACGCAGGCTGCACAGCGCCAGAACCAGGCGTCTGTCCACCTTCCTCCGCAGGCTGAGAAGCACCGCGAGGCGGCGCAGGCTGAGAAGCACCGCGAGGCGGCGACACTTCGGACGAGCCTCGCGGAGCAGAGGCTGCGGATGAACGTTGGACATGGGGGTACGGCCAGGGGAACGCCATTGCAATCAAAACTCAGTGGACTGCAGTGAATGAATGTAGTGGCCAATTGAATGCAGAGGACTGCAGTGTCACTAGCAAGTCCTGAACCAAACACAGCTGTGGCGGAAGGAATATGAAGCGTCTGGCTATTCAAAATGTTGCCCGGCAATGGAGTTCTGGGAACTCGAAGACCAGGAAGTGGACTAGAGTTGGCTCTGGGCATCCAAAATGTAGCCCAGGAATGGAGTTCTGGGAACTCGAAGAGCACGAAGTGGCTTACAGTTGGCTCCGGGCATCCAAAATGTGGCCCGGGAATGGAGTTCTGGGAAATGGAAGAACACGAAGTGGCCTACAGTTGGCTCCGGGCATCCAGAATGTGGCCCGGGAGTGGCGTTCTGGGATGTCGAAGAGCACGAAGTGGCCTACAGTTGCATCCGGCCCCCCAGAATGTGGCCCGGGAATGGCGTTCTGGGATGTCGAAGAGCACGAAGTGGCCTACAGTTGCATCCGGCCCCCCAGAATGTGGCCTGGGGAAGTGTGTGACTGTTGGTGAAAAACGAGCCCGGCTCATGCCGCCCGGAAACGCCCCAACACCTGCCCGGACCCCCCTGTGGAGTGATCTGTGAGCTCTTTTGACACTACTAGAAACCTATCAGTCTTCGCTGTTAAGTAAAAGAGGAAGATGAAGGAACGGTGAGGATTGCGAGAAACAGGAGGGGCCCCAGGAAGACGGAAGGAGGGCACGGAGGAGCAGGAGGGGGGGAGGGCAAACGGCGGAAACAGAACACAGCTTTCACTGGGCCCCGTGCTCTCGCCGAGGCGCCGGCCACATCCCTCATTCAATATCGTGTTGCCGCTTCGCTCGCGGGACTCCCAGCCTCTACCAGGTCAGCATCCCGTCCTCCAGCATGCGGCCGCCGACTTTCCTCTCAATTCTTGACGCTTCGCGTATCCCCACCAGTCGCCCGCCGCTGGCGCGTTCGCCTGCGGCCGTGAAAAAAAAGGGGGGGAAAAAAAAAGAAGAAGAAGAAAAAGTATCCCCACCAGCCCGTCCAGAATTGATCGCCAGCTTTCCCGAGGCCTGTTGGAGGCTATCCTGAGCCATGCTCGGCTAGAGGCTGTCGGGAGCTATTCTGAGACATGCTCGGCTATGTCGGGCCATATTCAGGCTGTCTTGAGGCCTCTTGGAGACCTGTCGGAGGCTATCTTGAGCCATGCTTGGCTATCTTGGGCCATTTTGGAGGCCATCTTGGGCTATCTAGGGCTCTCTTGGAGCCATCTTGGGCCAAAAAGGGCGGGGTGGAGAATCTTCAGGAGAGGCTGGGAGGCCTCTCGGGGCCGTCTTGGGCCCCACAGTTCAAAAAGAGCGGGGGTCCTCAATTCAGGCCCCCCCCCCTGAGGCTCTCAAACGGCGTATTGGGGACGTGTTGGAGCGCTCTTTGGAAGCCTCTTGGGCGATCTTGGGGCCGTCTTGGGCCTTCTTGGGGCCCTCTTGGGGCTCTCTTGGGCCATCTTGGGGCCATCTTGATGCCTCAGGGGCCCATCTGAAGCGAAAAGACGCGAATGCCAAACACATTGACTTTCCTTGGGCTTTTGAAGGGTTTGGGCTTCTTGGAGGGCGCCGTGGAGGGCTCGAAGGGCACTTTGATCCGTCTTGAAGACTCTTGGAGGTGTGTCGGAGGCTATCTTGACCCATCTTGAGGTATCTTGGGCCATCTTGGAAGCCATCTTGCGACTTGGAGCGCCTCTTGGAGCCATCTTGAGCCATCTTGGACGCTCTAACGCCTCCATCCCCCCCCCCTCCAGGTCCAGGGGAAAGTTACCCCTCCCCCGAGCAGGGGAAGGAAGGGGAAGAGAGAAGACCAAACTCGTTATACCACCGTAGCCCTAAAGGGCTGGTGGGACTTCCACCTATAGACTTCCAGCCTCCATCAGCTCAGCACTCCAACCTCTAGCGTCCGGCATCCGACTTTCCACCTTCACCTCCACTCAAGAGTCCACCAACGCTGCGCCCTGAGCCCCGCCCCGGGCGCTACCGCGCACTCGCCTCGCCTCGCCTCCGCTCGCACAATTCCCACGCACCTTATTGAACAATTGTGTTCTCGCCCGCGCCCAGAAACATCGTAGGTGCAAGGATCAAGATTAGAAGGCGAAGCGCAGCGAGCCTTAAAATCTTGTTTATATATATATGTGTGTGTGTGTCGATATTCCGAAAGATAGGTGCATAGGTCGATCTGTACACAGACAGATAGATGTATATAGATAGATAGATGGGTACCCTGAGTAGACAATTCGGTAGATAGGTCGATAGATAGATGGGCATATGTGCGCGACAAGGACAGTTGAACAGTTGAAGAAATCACCAAGGAACTCAGGGCCATCGCAAATCGACCGCTTCCCCCTTCCCCCCCAAACCTCCTTATCACCCGTAGGGTGGTCCTATCGGTATGCACTCGGAGCAGACCCTGTCGTGGCCAAGTCCGGGCCAAATGGGCGGCGAATGGAATCTGCGGCGCGGAAAGGCGAGAGGCTGATCGGAGCCATCTGGAGCTCGTGACGGCGAGGGAGAATAGCTGCGCGTCTGGCAGCTGGCTCCAAGACCCAAGCCCAACCAAGAACGGCAACGCTCGGCTCACTGAAGGCGGCCACTGGGGCATGATCAAAACAGACATGAAGCAACGAAGCGTGCCGATCACTCGGCAACCTTTGCCCACCCTGGAAGTGATTGGGCCGATGCCCTAGCGACCCTTTTCTTCTCTCGTTCGCTCCAGCGCTCCCCCTCTCTGCTCACCGCCCCCATGGCTCCCTTCCCTGGCTCCCTCCCTCGCTCCCTCTCGCCCGCCAAAGCCGACCCACAGCCTGGCACCCGCACGTCCACCTCTGTCTCGTCCCCCCCACCTCCCCTGACATCCAACGGTATGATTTTTCCCCATCCGCGGCCCCAAACATTTTGACCCTTCCCTTTTCCCTTGTGGAGGTTTTTCGCCCAATACTGAGTTCTCCCAGTCCTGGGCGGCAACGCTATGGCCCTCAAAAAACCGAACAAACAAAAATCAATCAATAACATATCGCTGGGGCTGAACAGGAACAATCCTTCGGATGCATGCCCCAACACAATTCGTTTGAAACCGGTCCCCGAACACCTCCTGGGGTCCACTACTCCGGCCAGTTATTCGAGCTGCGTCCAGCCATGGCCTGCGAGGGACGCCCAGGAGGCCCCGAATGGCTAGAACCTTCGATCGTCGAGCGTCGAACCTCGGTTCGCTGGTTCGCTCGAGCTCCATGCGGGAAGCCGAGTGCTCCCGCGGGGAGCAGCCTGACGAGGACCAGCGCGCCGGGCGGCAGCCTGTGGTCGGGCTGGCACTGCCGCCCCAGTCGGCCGCTGGCCTCGGGTGCCGCGGCGGCTGCCAGAGGCGGGGGAAAGAGAAGGGTGCGCGCGGCCGAAAGGTCGCGTTCACGAGGATCGGCGGCAGACGGGGCGGGACGCGCCGCTGGCATACCGCTCACTGACGCCGGATTCGTAGCAGTTGGATAAGGCGCGGGGGGTCAGGACGAGGAGGGCGTTGGGAGGATGAGGCGATCTGCTGGACAACTCGCGCACGCGTCCATTTGCCTCATCAAGACTGTGAGTTTGGAGTGCTCAAATGGTCGCTCGCGCCCATGTCGCACCCCCCCCCCCCAAACACCTGCCGCGCGCGCGGCCGGAGGGAATCTTCCTATCTCGCCTCTACCCCCAGCCCCCTTCACAAGGGAAGGCACAAGGGAAGGCGTCATGCGTCGCCGTCCGCAGGCGTCTCGCTCCGCGACTGGCTGGTGGGGGCTTGTTCTTCGACTGGGGTAGCGCATCGCTGCGCGCCTGGGGGTTGCGCATCGGCGGGAGTCTCGTTCCGCGATTCCAAAGAGATCTCGCCACGCGATGGGGGTGGAGCCTCGCTACACGACTGGACACTGCGCGCGCGGGACGGGCCTCGGTCGGAGGTGGCGCAGCTACGATGCATCGGCGGGGGCATCGCTCCGCGACTTGGGGGGTCTGGGTCCGTGATGGTGGTGGCGCCTCGCTGCGCGACGGCGCGCGCGCGGGCGGGAGCCGCCCGTGGGAGAGCTGTGTCGATTCGGGGTTTCGGATCGAAGCACTGGATCAGGCAGGACACCGCCGGAAATACTCCGGATCCCAGAAAGGAAATCCATCCTCAGAATTCCATGTGGAATCCCATGGGCTCCTTAGGGATTGCTCCGGCTTCCTGAAGTAACCGCAAGACATTATGAGGATTCCTGCAGGAATCGCTCGCAATGCTGAAACAAAAAACTCGAGGGGGATCCGCAAGCATTTGCTTCCTGGAGGGATCCGTGGGAATCCTTTGGGATTGTTTGTGATTCGCACACGAACCGTGAACCCCCCAAAGGAAATATGTAGGACTCCTGAGGAATCCGCACGACTTTGATTCACCATTCCCCAAACAGTGGTTTCACTTACGGTTTCTTGCTTGCGATGTCATGTAATTGGATGGGTTCGCTGGGCTTTCGCCCTGTTGCCGCCTCGTGCCGCCTCGTGCCGCCTCGTGCCGCCTCGTGGGCGCCTCGTGGGCGCCTCGTGAGCGCCCCGTGCGCTGGGTGGGTTTCCCGAGGTTGCCGTGTGCGGCACGTCGCCGCCCGTGTCGCCTCCTGGGCGCCTCGTGAACGCCCCATGCGCTGGGTGGGTTCGCCGAGGTTGCGCCACGTTGCCGCCCCGTGCCGCCTCGTGGGCGCCTCTTGGGCGCCCCGTGAGGTTGCACAACGTTGTCGCCAGTGCCGCCTCGCAGGCGCTCCGTGCTCTGAGCTTACACGGCATGGGTTGCACCACACACATAACACTACAGAGCTTGCACCACGTACATGCACCGCATAGCTTGCACAACATAACTTACCTAGTATAGCTTGCACCCCCTAGCTTTCATCTGCAGCTCACATCCATAGCTCACACCACATAACCTACACGACCTAACGTTCACCACTTACATCGCAGATCCATCACCTCCACAATGCAGTGACGCACTGTTTGGGGTCCACGCTAGCTGACCTCGTTAACACCAGAAATCGGGAGGAGTCCTCAGAGATTCATTGGAGAATGCACCGGAGAATTTGCTCATGGCGGCGTCATGGAATTCGTGGGATGACTGCAGAGACCGCCTCAGGAAACGGCCTAGGAACGGGAATCCCAAGTGGGGGCCCGTCCGCACGGCAGGGGCGGGGGCCCGCTGGGCGTTTCGCCAGGGAAGCTATGCATCAGGTTGTCTTGGCTTTACGTGCGGAGGTCTCCGTCAGAAGATGCTCAGGAGCCGCAGAAGCCGAACACGGGGTCGCCTCACCAGTGATACGCACAAGACGAAGGAGGCGCAGGCCGCAAGCTTGCGTCGCTTGAGGCGGCCGAACTTAACCCTGTCCGCCCCGTCGTTCGTGTCAAGCTCCGCTGAACGCTCCGACCAACGGTCGCTTGCGCCCGGCGTCAGTTGGATGCTCCGCCCGATCTAGTGCATGAGGTGTGGGAGGAGAGCGAGGGAAAAGAGCACCTATGGGGGATGATGCACTGGGGGGGAGCGAAAAGAAGGAGGGAGAGGAGACTCCAGGAGGTGGGGAGGGGGAAACGGGGTAATCACGTCGTGGAAACCGAGCCCTCGCAACCGAGTCGGTCAATGTCGGACCTGCATATTGGCGGATATGGCCTGCGGGCCTGGCCAGGAGGCGGCGATGGTATCCACCAACATTTGAGCTCAAACAGAATGGGCATTCTGCGGTGGCGGGTCTTTTCCCTCTTCTGGGTGGAGATGGGCTAATAGAGAAAGCAAGGCAGGTGCGCTTGCGCCATATTTGGAATCTACCCTCCCACCCATCCCTTCCCATTGCGCTGATTGCTTCTACCTCCGCCAACGAGTGTCGCACCGTTTCTGAAACTCCGAAGATACCCCACCGTGTTATGCGCAATCTGAAAAAAAGACGCTGCGCACTGGAGGAGGGCACGGCGGATGTGCAGGAGGATGATCAAGTGGATAATGAGGAGGAGAAGGGAGGAGGAGGACGGGGACGAACAGCAGCAGCAGCAGGAACTGGAATGGAAAGAGCGGGAGGAGCAGGAGGACCGGGGGAAGGCGGAGGAGGGGAACGAACGGGGGCGACAACGATGAGGAAGGACTCGGCTGGGACGAAAGCGCCATTCTGCCCGCGCTGGGCGAAAGCGCCATTCTGCACGACCGGAGCAAGGCCCCGATCCTCAAATGCGGCCCACGCTGCAGCGGGAACACCATTTCGAAAAAACAGGGACGTTCGGATTGAGCAAACACATAAGAGAAGACCAACTCAGACCAATCCCGTGCGTAAAAAACGATACGCGGAGGGGGGCGCGCCACTTTGAGGCCGCCTTCGGGGGAGAGAGGAGAGTTGTATCCGTGCGTATTGTGTACTTGTGTAAGGCATTGGAGGCGATAGGGTTGGGACGCGTCCTGTGGCAGACAGGAGGTATGTTGCTGCATGCGCGTGCGCGTGCCTGCGGGCGTGCGCGCACCCACCTTGCCCTGGAAGCGCCATTTCGACATGCGGAACCGCCCAAAGGGTCCATCATATGCAAACAACTCCGCACGTGAAGTACGCAAGACTTTCAGAATCGAGGACGACAATCTGCAGCATGGAACCTCGCGACGTGCATGTTGGAGGTTTGGGGGCCCCTGGAAAAAAAGCTAGCAAATATTGGGTGCTAAGGGTGGCCGGCCGTGGTCGAGTAGGTGAGGCACTCGGTGTCGTTCTGACCGGTGAGGTTGTCCAAAGCGTGCGAGTCTGGCTCCTGCCAATGCGTCGCCCACATCACCCCTCCTCCTCGTCCTCCCACTCCTCCTCCCGTCCGTGCCCGTCCTCACTATTCACCTCCTCCTAAACTGAATATTCCACGATTTCCCGCTGCTGGCTTCCTCCTCTTCCTCCTCCTCCTCCTCCTCCTCCTCGGCCGACGGGGTCTCGATGCGGGCCGCTCGAGGGGCAGGCCAGACGTATCACGCCGAGGTCCAGAGCCGCAAGGCCGAGAACGAGGACCTGGCATCGCTCGGGCCCCCCTACGTTCAGATCTGGGGTGCCCTCATCCAGGTGGTCGGGACCGATCCCGAGTGCCCAGCAGAGTGCCGCAAGTCGATCGAGCAGTACTGGAAGGAGGTGTTGTGTCCTATGCCGCTGGAGAAGGTCGGCGAACACGTTTACCACTGCCGCGTGCGGCAAACTCGCAAGGTCGAATCCAAGGACGAGCGGATGCGCTTGACCTTCGAGGTGGACGCCGAGTACAAGCCGCTGGAGAAGGTGCTGATTCCATATTTTGTGGCGATCGGCGCCGAGCGCAAGCTGGGGCCTGCTCCCCGTGGCGCGCTGGAGCGCGAGGCGTCTCGCCTTCTCGAGCAGCTCGGCCAGGGCAAGAAGAAGGAGGAGGCTTAAGAAGTACCAGAGTATTGCATATGTTTGGTTCTAGTGATGTGCAGCCTGATAGTGTGGTTTTGAATACTGGGATCTCTGTGCATGAGAATGCTGGAGCTGCTCGGAGTGCTCACGCTGCTGCACCACCTGATCGTGCTGTTCTAGGCCCCGCGCCCATTGTTGCAGTGAGGAGTGAGGCCAGGATTCTGTCTTGTAGTGTAGGGGGGGGAAGGGCCTTCGGAGGGGGCTGGCGCGGGAACGATCCGTGGTCACCTCGAGGCCTCCCGACTCCCCCCGAATTTAGCTTGTAGTCAGAGGCTCGCCGAATTGGTCGCCCGAGGGGTTTTTGCTTTGAACCTCGCCCCTGCCGGGCCTCCCCCCCCTCCTTCGAGTTCCTCGGGGTTGCGACCGATTCGTGAGCTGTCGGATTCTTGTGTGCCGATGCCTCGGCGTTCCCGTCGTTCGAGGCCTCCTCGGCTGCAGTAGCTAGTTGAAATTCAATGGAGTGGTGCCCATCACCCCCCTAGCTGGCATCCCCCAGCCAACGGGCGGGTCGAGGGCCTGTGGTGGTGTCCCCATCAGCAGCGCTCGCTGGTGAGGGAAGCTGCGGAGTATACCGCCACTCAGGTGCTACATTTTTTTGTTTTTCGAGGTGACACTTCGAACAGCACCCGAGAGTCTTGCTTGCTTGCTTGCTTGCTCCTCCTCCTCCTCCTCCTCCTCCTCCTCTCCCCCATCATCCTTCTTAGCAATAGCTATCGTTTCCTTCTTATTATCACCAGCATCATGCTTCCAATTCAAAAATTATATATAGCTAAAAAAGAATATCACTCGTGTGAATGGAATTATGTTGTACGCTAGTGTTTACGATTATTGAATGGATGAATTTCAATATTCCTTTATCTTTCATACTAAAGGCCCCCCCCCCTGGATGGGGGTCCCCGGATGGGGGTCGCAATGGCTAGAACGGCCAACAGGGGCCATCCAGGCGGTTCAGAAGACCCCCCGAGGGTGTCTGGATCGGCGCGCGATGCCCCCAAGAATGTCCCAGACAGGCCAAAACAATGCTCTAAAAGCGCCCCAGAGGGGCCCCAGGGGGCTCGAAAAACGCTCAAGACAGCCCCAGTTGGCTCTGCGACGGTCCAAGGTGTCCCCAGACGCCCTGAGAAAGCTCCAGGAAGATCCAGGAGGCCTCCGAGAAAACCCAACAGGCCTCCAAAACGTTTCCATGAGAGCCCGAACAGACATAAGTCATGTTTGCGATGCTGTTTGACGGATTCCAGGGTTTTCCCGTTCCCGCTCTCCGACAATCCAAGACAGCCCAGGACGCCCTCGACATCGCCCCTAGACGGCCCGAGAGGCCCCCCCCGATGTCGCTCTATGACATCCCAAACAGGCGCCAAAATGGCCCCGACACGACTCCAAAGCATCGGCCCGAAAGGCCCCCGAGACGGTCCAAGAGGGGGCCCCGACGGGGTACCCGAACGGACTTTCGGGGCCCTTGGCCCAGAGAGCCCCCAGGAGACACTTCGAGCCCCCGCGAATCCCAAGAGGCCCCTCAGAGGCCCCCGCAAATGCTTCCAAAACCTGCTTTTCAAAGGCATCCGGAACGGCAGCGACGCTCGTCGTCGTCGTCGTCGTCGTCGTCGTCGTCGTCGTCGTCGTCGTCGTCGTTGTCGCCGTCGCCGTCGCCGTCGCCGTCGCCGTCGCCGTCGTCGTCGTCGTCGTCGTCGTCGTCGTCGTCTGCGTCTTCGTTGTCATCGCCCCCTTCGTTCCCCTCCCCCCCTCTCCCCTCCCTCTCTACTCGAAAGAAGCACGTTCTAGGCCTCGAACCCACGACCCCCAACCCATTCCTTACTGGATGACAGTCGGGCCCGAGCCATTCTCTCCTTGGAGACATGTTATCGGAACAGAATGCACTCCAGCGCGCCGCTTGCCAGCAACGCCTCCCTCGAGATGCTGACTAGAGCAAGCGGGCGCGGCGAGCCACGGGGAAATGTAGAATTTGCGCCGCCGATGCCTCGCAGCGCAGCGGGGCAAGCCGCGCAGTTCACGCCGGAGTCTGCGCGCAGCGCGGCAGCGTCTTGCCATGGGCGTGATTTCCGGTAGACTGCCGCCGCAGTGCTCGAGCAGAACGCCACTCCTGCAGCAGCCCCAACGGACGCCCGCGCAACGACTTCTTCGGCCTCGACGACATGGGCCAGGTCTGCCAGCATTGCGGAGCATATCTCTACTGCGCAGAGACCACGAGCTTCTGTTGTAGCGGAGGCAAGTTCGCAATGGACTTCGCCCCCTTCTTCGCCGTGCTCGACGACGCGCCCAGAGCTCTCTTCCGCGAGCGCTGGCCGTTGAAAGGCGACGCTGGGACTGCCTTGGACGACGCCCAGTCCAGCGCAGCATTGCGCGCGGGATTCGGCGCGCTGCCCCGCCGATTCAGCGGCGCGTTCGCGCTGGCGCAGCATCAGATCCAGAGCGGCGGAGCCGACAAAGAAATGCGTTTCGGCGGCGCCCTGCGGCCCGGCAACGTCCGCGTTCGCAAGAGCGGGCGACCGCGGCGAATGATCTGGGCCTGCCCAAAAAGACGCTCGCGGACTTGGAGCGGCTCGTCCTCCCGCAGAACACGCGCGCGCGCAGTCCAAAAACCGGCCGAAACCAAAGCTCCCACATCCAACGGCGCAGTCGTTCTGGAATGGCACGAGGGCGTCAGCGAAGTCGCTGGCGTCGTCGACTTCGAGCCGTCGCCCAAGCGCAACTATCGCAGCCTTCCGCCGCGCCTGGACCGACCACCCCGAATACTTGCGCCACCTGAGTCCTTTGAGACAATCTTTCTATTATTCGCGCTAACGCCCGTTACCGGCGGCGCCCCCCCCCACCCCACCCCCACCCCCCGCAACGTCGCGATTCGCGCCGGCGGCGTCTGGAAACGCCTTGAACAAGCGCCGCGCTGCTAGGGCGAACACGCAGATAGGAATAGCAATGGTATACAAGTGCGCTGCACTTGCTACTACTACTACTACTACTACTACTACTACTACCACTACTACTACTACTACTACTACTACTACTACTACTACTACTACTACTACTACTACTACTACTACTACTACTACTACTACTACTACTACTACTACTACTACTACTACTACTACTACTACTACTACTACTACTTCTACTACTACGACTACTACGACTACTACTACTACTACTACTACTACTACTACTACTACTACTACTACTACTACTACTACTACTACTACTACTACTACTACTACTACTACTACTACGACTACTACTACGACTACTACGACTACTACGACTACTACTACTACTACTACTACTACTACTACTACTACTACTACTACTACTACTACTACTACTACTACTACTACTACTACTACTACTACTACTACTACTACTACTACTACTACTACTACTACTACTACTACTACTACTACTACTACTACTACTACTACTACTACGAGGGTCACGCGACGCCTTCGTGTCTGCCGAGAATGGATGGGCAAGGGTTCGGGTTCGGGTTCGGATTGCAATTTAATCAGAATGCAAGATTAATTACAATACACTTATAATATGATTAACATGAAATTATAATTCAACAACAAGATACAAGTAAAACGCCATTCGAATTTTCAAGTAGAAGTAGAATACAAGTATAATGCCGGCGACACAAAGGTGAAGCGTGGAAATATAATTTCTCTTAATCGAACCGGTATACAAGGAATGCCAGAACAATAATACACGAAGGCGACGCGCGGAACACGCCACGTTGTGGGGCGATACGAAAATGGCGCGTGGAATTGCAGTTGCTGCTCGGCTTCTCACTACAAACTGTACACAGGAATACAAAACAATGGCACACGAAGATGACGTGTGGAAGGCACTACAATGTGTTCCCAGACGCTCCCCGCGGCGCCCAGACGCCCCCAGACGCTCTCAGGCGATCTCAGATTAGAAGCTCTCAGACGTTCTCAGAAGCTTTCAGTGACTCCCAGATGCTCCCAAACGCTTCCAGACGTCTCACACGCTCCCAGACGCACTCAGACGCCCCCAGACGCCATCGGAGGCCCCGAAACAATTTCTGAAATCCCCAACGGTTCCTCCAAATTCCCTAAATTTCCTCTGGCCTCCCCTGGATTCGCCATCATTCGGCTTCCCAACTTCCTTCCGGCTTCGTCGGGTTCGTGGGGGATCCGCAAGGTCCCTCCGGTTTCTCGCAGCTTCCTCAGGGCCCATCAAGGTTGCTCAGGACGCCATAGAATTCCTTTGGCCCCGCAGGATGTCCACAGGACGCGCCGCTTGCAAGGGCAACCGCTGACCCATTATGGGTTCAGATTAACGTCGTTTGGAGGCTGGGGTTCGACCATTTTCTAAATTCAATTCCCACTC